CAAACAGTGCACATAGCTAACGCGTGCGGTCAACTGACGGGAGGAGACGCGGCATGCAATCAAAACAATATCCAACTCCCACGGAACGCTCCCAGAGCGAGCTCATGGCGGGGCCGGCCGTGTGCGGTTGATCGCATTCAAATCAACCACCTATTACTCATATTTGGGTCTGCAGCGAGAAATAGAACCCACTATTAGCTGATCTGATCTACACACGGAACGCATCGCCGCTGGTTTGAAAATGTCGATTAGCGAAGCAGCGTGTAGTTTGTGGTAAACTGGCAGAAAGACCATGTAATTTTGGCGTTTGAAGCACAGTTTCCGATGATGACCCGTTGTTTACTGCGGTGCCAGGTCAGAACGCAGTACTATTTTTAATGCAATTTGTTTACGGAAAGCATTCGCAGATTATAGAGGAAATGCGATCGGTGGTGATCTTTTGCTTCAAATACTTCATGTAGGATGATGATCGACATGTAATTATTCAAAGCAATATGCATTGACGATGACTTGGTGGTTATGATAACTTACAACAAAAAAGTTGGAGCGGATTAAGACCCGGAAAGACATGAGCTTTCTGATCTGGAAAAGGAAGATTCTCATAATTACTAACTTTAACTGTAACAGATTTTATGAGCTCTAAAATTATTTTAATATTTTGAAGTTGGATATCTTGAAAGATTTTCAAGGCCTCATTAAGACTTAAGAAGTTTCCCGAGCTACAGAATCATGAAAATTATCCAAAGGCTGTCACACTCAATCCAGTTGAATTTTGAAAAGTGAAAGATTGTAGTAAGAAATTCTTCTACAAACAGTGAGCTTCAAAAAAACTTAGGATATGTTGGGAATTTACAGGAAAACATTAAAATTTTATTTCGATGAGCCATTACATAATCCTAAGGTTATTCCGAAGAGAATTCCTAGGACATTCTGGATAGTTTTCTTAGGGCATTCCAAGGAGACTAGAAAGTAATTCTGAAAAGAAGTTGAAAGGTTTTGTGAGGAAATCTTCAGGAAATACTTGGGCAATTTAAAGGTGTAGTCACATGGCAATTCTGAGAATATGCCAAGGAGAATTTCAGAAAATCTCTGAGAAGAACTCAAAAAGAATTTGGAGGATAATTCCAAACAATATCCAAACTCCACAACTCCAAATAAATTCTGGCAAAAGTAACAAAGAAATGCTGATAAGGACTTCTTATGAGTACTGACATTAATTTCTAAAGATTTTTTAATAGATTTCGAAAGGGAATCTGAAGTTGATTCAATTCTAAAGGAATCTTAAAGAGAATTTAATATTCTCGACAGCGTCAAGGAGAGGTTATTTAGCAGTTGTTTTGAGTTGAACTTAATGGGAGTTCAAACTCACAACATCTGAGGATGATGTCATGCGATAATTATAAAATATTGATATCGGAATTTTAGGAAAATTCAAACGGAGGCAAATCATTAAGACATTTTATGGAATACACGAGAGGAATTTTGAAAAATTTGGACGGAATTCTGAAAATAACTTAGATGATAAAAAAACAGCGGTGCCGGTGATGTATTAGTGATCGTGATTGCCTCTCACCCCAGCTGGCCTGGGTTCAATCCCGGCCGGCGCCGCCGGGATGTTCTGAGGCAAAACATCTCTGATCACGCCTTCCTTCGGAAGAGAAGTAAAGCCGTTTGGCCCATTTTAATGAGTTGATGGGTAGATAGATAGGGTCCACGAGTGGGAGCTGCCTCCCTAGTGTCGGTAGCATTGGTGCTCAGCACGGAGAACAAGATCGACGGAAAACAAATCAAAGAAAAAAAAAGTTCCAAAAGAATTCTGATATGAAATCCAAGGAAATCTTAATTTGAAAAAATATACATTCCATAGACTCTCGGCGGACCGCATGATGAGCACCACTGGCATAGAGTGTCATTGTACTTGCCACACAATTTAAAAATGCATGGTTAGCATATAAAACTCTCAATAGATTAAATCATTCGAGAAGTTTCCTACCACTCGAACTTTGCCGAGGGACAATATTTTTTATTCTAGAACCTCGAAAGAATATGATTAATTAATAACTGTAGAAGTGCTTCAAGAACGCAAAGTTCAAAGGAGGCGATAGTTCGTGTAAGAGCATCAAACCATGAAGAAGAAGCAGCTCGATATAATATCGCAAATTTTCGTAAGTCAATAATTGTCTAAAAATTTCTTAGGCAATGTTCTACAGTTTCTTAATCTTTATTTAAGTCCCAGAATCAATGAATTTGTTAACCCTTTTATGACCGGCTAAAAGTTCTCAGGATTTTCTTACAAGCATTATTTGAATGGTAAATTACGTTTCAGAATTTTACAAGGAATCTACTTGTTAATAATTTTGAAATCAATAAAATCAAACTACGATAAGTACACAAAAGTTGTTTTGAAAGCACCACTAGCACAAAGTCCAAAGTGGCAAAATAATCTATATTTTCTTAAATTTCAAAGCTCAAAATCCTCATTTAATCTGCCAGGATTTTGGAAAAAATCAAGGCATCTCAAATATATTGGGGCCTCAGTGGGTAAAGACGCAGCTATAAATAATATAACCATGCAGGAGGCGGCTGGGTTCGATTCCCGGTCCGGTCTAGGAATTATTCAGGTTGAAAAATTGTTCGACTTCCCTGGGCATGGAGTATGATTGTACTTACCACCAGTGTCTGTTTTTATCATTTACCATCACACGCAAGGAGTAGCGCTTCAACCCAGTGTAGATGAATTGCATTCTTTTTGAATAATTTCGCTGTGACGTACGAGCGAAACGAACAAATGAGCTCATTATATATCAACGAAAACACGTTTGATGATATTCACTAGTGCTTGATTATCCAATCCAAAATTACTCAGAGGTTGCCATGATCAAGAGAATCCTTTTATGTCAAAATTCAAATTTATGCAGGTAGTTGGTCTATCTGTTAAGGTTGTCTTCATTTTCAGCTAAGTTGAGCGTAGAAGAAATTATTTTCATCAGCACTGCTTGCCACACAATAGGCATACATATGCAAAAATTGTATACGCTTAGAATGCTTTTAAGAACACTAAGGTGAGAGTCAGCATAAAGTCCCAGTAGGGATGTAATAAAGCCAAAAGAAGGTGAAGATCTCGAAAATATTAGTCCCAAAATCTCGAAAAGCACTTTTCTTGTTTCTATTCTAAGAAATATTCCTATTTCGGAATTTGAAATCTTTTCTATGTCCGGAATCTCGAAAAATTTCCAGGTTTTAGGTAGAGGAAATATTTTTGAAGTCCCAAAATGATGACAATATTTCAAAGCCTCAGAATCTTGAAAGTTCCCAAAAGTTCCAAAACATTTTAAAATTTGCAATAACTCGTGATCTCTCAATTTATTTCCAGTCCAAAATTTATAAAAAAAAATATCTAAATTTAATTTCTATCAAGCCAACATTCAGCCTAGCGGTTTTTGATCAAAGGACCAATTCGGCTTTTAGTGGTATTCATGGAAAAAAAAATGAATATTCTGAAACATAGAAAATAGTTTTAAATTTTTATACTTTACTTTTAATGGACTAGGAAAAATATCAGATCTTGATCCCATACTTTAAAAAAGACTAATCCCACTGATTTTTTAGCTTCATCCACTAACCGTACATTTTTCACAACTAATATCACAAAAGCTTTTAATTAAAAAGCAGAAAATAAGTAGACATTTAAGCACCCATATGAAACCTTATAAAATGTCTTGCATCATCACTTGTTTACAATTGCAAGGTCAGAATTCCGATAGGTAGCATATAATCGCATTTTAACTACAAATTGCGGTTAATGCAGAAAATTTAATTGCGAAACCTGCATCTCTTGGTGCTAAAATTACGCGATTACGCTATCCTGCACTTTAGCACTAACCTCACCACACATTGTCCAAAACTAAACACAACAAGTAAAACACTGTCCACCATCATATTGACTTATTCAAATCGGTACTCATATTGCATTCTAAACAATCCCGTCATCCGCGCAGGTGGGAAGTGCCTCGATCACTGAAGGCACACACTTCTCCGTTGTTTATTGAACACATTCTTCAAACACCTCCTACGTCAACACAAAACACTCCATCCGTCACACTAGTTCCATTCTTCGTTCGGAATTCAACCCTCAACCACATCGTTAATCATTCACATCTTCGTTTAGCAAAACTCACGGGAGAAAATTACAACTAAACCCCATCAACTAGCGACATATCTCACACATGATGTAATCACAATCGGTTCAATCAAATATTTGATGATAAGCAAAATAAACCGGTGGACAATTACATTCCGGTGGTGACCAAATCATCAGTGGTCGTCGAATCCGCTTCCTCCTCCAGGATGTCGGCAGCATCCGTTCCATGTAGTCATACAAGTAGCTCATTTTGTCGTTGTTGCTACTGGAATAATTGATCACTACTAAACACTACACTTAACAAGGGCGTAAGAAGCTACAAAAATCGTGACTTTCGACCTGCCCGAACGCGACGAGAACTTCAACTGACGACCAAGCTGATCTCGCCGCATTTTCTTATACAATTTCCGATCTCATCTTGCGGTAACGCAATCGGTGGCCGTGTGATGGAGATGAAACGATACCCCAACTCCACTTGGATTAGCGCTGCATCACCATCGGCAGCCCACCCTTTTGTTTAACGGGCTCACAGTTTTTGCATCTTTATGAATGAACGGTGATTTGAGTATAATAAGAGCGAGCATTCTGAGCAAAGCAACCACGTGCACGTGGGTCGAATGAGAGAATGTCGGTACGATGGATGCTGCGATATTGTTCGAATGAATCGCCGCAGGCGAGGTTCATCTAATCCAAAACAAGCATTCATCAAACCGAGTCGAGTCTCGTGAACAGAAACATGATTCATGTCATCACGCATTCCATTTTTAGCGTCGTCACTGTTTGCGTCATAATTACGCTCGGCCGGACCGGCCCCTCAAGGGTCATCAACGTACAATGAAAGAGTGACAGAAACGAAAAATAGAAATGATGTCATCGATTTTTGCTTTATTGAGGTATACATTCGCACAACTGGGGGAAAAACCGAAACGAATGGTTAAATAATACATGTAGTTAGATCTAAGCGAAAACAAGAGTATTTTTCAGTGAGCGACCGGCGTTGTCTTCAACGTTGTCACTAACTTCGAATGAAATGAAACCGTCCACGTCGTTCAGCTCGGTGGCGTTGAATTTGGCCGCGATCTGTGCACTTCCAGACAAATGAGGCGTCATACGAAATTTAACGATTGCCGTCTGCTCGACATCGATGTAGTCGTAAGGGATTTCAACCGGCTGCCACACACCAGAACATTCAAATCTGAATACCCCGCTTGATAGTGGAATGGGCATAGGGTTCTCCAGTGTAGCCGTAATGTAAAGAGGAGCTCCCATGGTAGGTTCGTTGTCCAGATTGATTTTAATGTCCGGCTTACGCACTCGATAGTCTTCTTGGGCAAAATATTCGTAGTTAGTTCCACGGACACTGGCTGAGCACATAATCTTGAAGTAGTCCTGATCCATAACGTTGCTGTAGTATTCTTCAAACTCAACATGTAATTCTACCGAACTGGTTGAATTTGGTTCCATTTCCACCTCGAATGGAATCGCTTTCAAAGGTGTCCTCATCTTTCCCGTATAGAGAACGGTATCCACGTGTACCATTCCGTCGATTGGGTAAGTTTCACTGTCAGAATTATTCTTTATGTTCAGGATGATTGTGAAGGGTTCTCCGATTTTTACGTCATTTCGGATTTCCACATCGAAATCAATGTCATGAAATTCTTCGTTCGTGTAAATTCTCGCCAAAGGACTGGTGGCTTGCTTCAGTGCTTTCATCATTGTAATTCTCTCGTCACAAGATCTTTCCTCGAATTTGTACGATTCAGTGATGTCTTCACGCTCAAAGGCTCCCACAGCTTTGGTGCTGATGAATTGTCCAATTTTCGTAGGATCTTTCTTCACTAACTTCAGCGGTTGACCTGGACCTCTATATCTCCAGAAAATCTCATCGGCATTAACCTCAGCGAACACAAAATCACAATCGTAATGCACGTTGACATCTCCACGTTTAACTGCCTTTACCGGTGCCGGTCCCAGCTTGAACATTCCATCAGACAGCTCCTGTGGAGTCGCGTCAACCGCCTGCCATCCATCGTACAGCTCGTCGGATCTCTCCCCAAGGTCTGGTCTTTGCATCCACATTTCGTTCCATACGTGGAAATTCCACGTAGAGTCCGAACTAAATTCGCTTAGGTGATTATTGGTCTCGCCAAGGTAGTAGTCAATCGTTAACGATGCCTCGGAATCGTGGGCAGAATTGAAATTGGACACTACGCGGCAAGGAATGCCGAGAGCTCGCGAGACTGCAATAAAAGACTAATTAGTACGTAGGAAAATAATAATTATAATGAAGCATTAACTTACTTGTAGTTAGAACCCCCGCAAACACCCAACACTGTCCGTATCTCACGGATGTTTCCGATTTGAAGTACTGTTGTAGGATATCAACCGATCCAACCCATGAGGTAGGTGGTGTACCATTCGGAAACTCCTTACCCCATCGTCCCAACAACGCTCCATTGTCGTCGTTACTATTCACAGCTGCCGAGAGAGCACGCGCCACACGAATCGGATTACCACGGTATGTTGCACTAACACGTCCAACTTTGGACAACAGCAGAAAACTACAGTCCAGAATATCTTGCTCGAATTGTCCCAACTTCCAGATGGTTGGATGGAAACTACGATTGCAACCACGCCAAATCATTGTCGTATCGCTAAGAACGTACTCCTCACGGAGTTTTTCGTCTAGAAAAGCATTCAAGTTATTTTCAAAGAATCAAAGTGTACCCTTTCTACAAACCTTCCAGATATACGCAATCATTTTCGCACCAAGGATTGAACAGCAAATAAAATGCAACTGAGACGTTCGCGTTGATTACTTGATCCGATCCAATCAATTTGGTATCGATTGACATGCTCCATTTGGACACCGAAGCCTTTGCCGATGCCCTGATGTTTATCGTGAGTGCATTATCCTCAACCGATTCCAGAACGGCCTTCCAATCTGATTCGTCTTCGTCCACACCATCACCCTTATCCAAAGGTAAATGCACTACGGTACCATGACCATGGCTCACCCTTTCTTCATTCATCGGTTCCACTGCTAACATGAACGAAATCACATCCCGATCCTCATCGAAAGGTCTATCGCAGTACATCTTCAGCTGAAATGGTTGACCTCGCCTCACCACCAACACAGGATTTCCGGTATCCATCTTGTGTCTATTCATCAATTCAAACCGACTCGTCCGGTGAGCCTCCCCATTTTCGTCCAGGCACGGATTGACACCATTTATCCCTAATGGCACGTCCTCGCTATCGGTCGCTAGAAGTTAAATAATAAAGCAAACACCGCTCAGAATTCCAATATTATAACAAGCCACTTAATGACACTCACTGTTTGCTTGCGGCCACATCATCCACGGTGATAAACCAGCACCTTCCATATTAAACAACACACAACAACGCGTTTAACAGCGACCGAGTGATTAAGATTTTTTGAATATTAATATTTCGCGTAGAATCCTACACGACAAGCGTCTGGCACTGGCAAATTTCACGGTTAAACTGAACATACGATATGGGTGAAATGAACGTTTTATACGGCGCGATGCCGACCGATGGTACGCAGCGCAACTCTCCGGTCTGATTTATTTCAGCGTCGTGGGATTACTCATCCATCACCAGCATGGTGCGCATGCGACTTCATCCCTTTTGGTGCTGCTGACAAGCGTTGATAATGGGCGGTTGGAATTGGCTGATAATTTCCATTGCAAGATTTATTGCTCTGGATGCAAATTACTGCATGATCTATGGTGAGATGATCAAAATGATTGGATCGATGTTCAGCCGAAGAGCAAACTGGACGGAAAAGGATGAAATTTTTGTGCGGTATAACATTCCTATTATTATTTTTGTCGAAAATGAGTTATCCATTGGAACCGATTGACAAGTAGCATCATTTTACAGTGTATACGACGAATTTCCTACTTTGTTCAGAAAATGCCGCGAAAAATACCAAAACTACTATGTTGTCCCATCCTAAAGAGTCCATTGAGAAATTATGTTTCAACAATGTTTTTCTTAGCTTGCTATTTTAACGAATGAGACAACTATGCTGCATAGGACAGTGTAGGCTAGGGTGCTTGATTTAAAAACAAAAGTATTTGCAATCTTATAGGCCAGGTTATGCCCCCAAAATATGAGCCTGTGCAAAAAATGGTAAAGATCGATGAAGGTTCATAGGTCGCGCAAATGGTTTGAAGTTTCTATGGGGATTACTATGGAAGAAGTTTAAATTTATCAAACACAAAAAAATAATATGTGACATCGACCAACAAGCCTCAGTTTGGTAACAGTTGTTGAACAATTCAAGAGTGATAAAAAAAAAGTTCATCACTACGACAACATGCATGTCTATCGTTTTTTTTTTTTCCTTTGATTTGTTTTTTCCGTCGATCTTGTTTTCCGTGCTGAGCACCAATGCTACCGACGTGCCAAATAAGGCAGCTCCTACACCTGGACCCTACCTATTGACCCATCAACTCATGAACAGGGGACCAACGGCTTTACTTCCCATCCGAAGGAAGGCGTGATCAGAGATGTTATGCCTCAGAACATCCCGGCGGCGCCGACTGGGATTGAACCCAGGCCTGCTGGGGTGAAAGGTAATCACGCTTACCACTACACCACCGGCGCCGTTTACATGTCTATCGTTGTCATAGGAACTACATAATATTTTTTTACAGCTACAACCAAAGAACAACTAGAACCAAAGATAGAGTGATAGAAGTGGAATTCAAAAATTTTCCATAGTATTTCGCCATAAAGTAGATTTCGCGTTTCGTGTTCAAATCAGTCAGCCGGTACCGAAAACTCCATCAGTAGTCGAGACAATAAGTCACATTAATATATTTCAGATGGTGTAGTGGTTCATGCTGAGGCTCTCACAAAGAAAGACCGGGTTCAATTCTTCAAACAGCTCTTATTTATTAAAAAATAATAAATGTTTAACACGATCATAAATGATGAACACTAGCTGTAGAAATAGAGCTTTCATCCCGGGATGAAAAATTCCGGGATTTTGACATTTCCCGGGATTCCCGTGGATTCCCTGCATATCAATTTATAAATCCCGGGATCTCGTACATCCCGGGATTCTTAATTTGAGACATACTCGAAAAAAATGCACCATTTTTATCCGTGTGTAACTTTTTTATCCGTGGGTAAAAATTGATGAAAATCTGGGTATAACTAGTTTGGAGTGAATTGTTAACATGTGCAAAATTTCATAACAATCGGTTCAGTGGTTATTGAGATGCCATCGAAACAAGAAGAAAATCGCCGGAGAATTTTGTGCGCCGTCATGGAAAATCCGACTGCGACGATGAGATGGATCAGAAGACAACTGGGAATCACCCATACAACTGTGTCTCGGGTGGTAAAATCGGTTAAGGAGTCCCAGACGACTGAGCGGCGGGCTGGAAGTGGAAGAAAATCGAAAACAGCTGACCCTGTGACGGCCCGGAAGGTGTTGGATTATTTCAAGCTTAATCCGAACCTTCCGATTCGCGACGCAGCTCTAAAGGTAAAGTGTTCCGCCTGGTTCGTTCAGCAAACCATGAAACGAGCTGGGCTTCGTGTATTCAAGGTCCGGAAGGCACCGAACCGGCGCGATCAACAAAACACGGTGGCCAAATCCCGCGCAAGGAAGCTGTATCGAGAGTGGTTAACGAAACCGATGTGTGTGGTTATGGATGACGAAACCTACATCAAGGCAGACGCAAAGCAGATACCGGGGCTGGAGTTTTACGTTGCCAAATCACAGTTTGATGTTCCGGAAGACATAAAGAAGAAGAAAGTGGACAAATTCGCCAAAAAATACTTCGCTCTGGCAGGCCATATGCCAATGCGGTAAACTGAGTAAACCGTACATCAGAATGGGAACCATCAACAACGAAATTTACCGCACCGAGTGCCTGCAGCAGCGTCTGTTGTCCTTCCTGCGGTCCCACGGAGGCGAGACATTATTATGGCCGGACCTGGCATCATGCCATTACGCGCGATCGACGTTGGATTGGTACAGAGACAATAACGTTGTTTTTGTACCAAAACCGCCTAGAGCACGGCAAAATAGTTTTTACAATTACATTCATGAGAGAAATCATCCACCATAATCATCATGATCTTCATAGACTATTGTGAAACTTGGCTGTCAAACATAACATCACGTCATGGAACTATGATGTTTTAAGTCAAGAGCCATTCATCTCATTTCAGAGAACTTCATAGTATTTCGGGGAGCTTCGTTAAAGTTCAGGTTATAGAACTTCAAGGAACTTCATAGATCTTCATGATACTTCGTAGAACATTAGACAACTTCGTGAAGGTTAAGGATCATGGTAATCTTTTAGAAGTGCTACAAATAGGAGTTCAGTTAACTTTGAGAAAGTGCAGAGAAGTTTGTTGAAGGAGAGCGTGACTGCCTCTCACCCCAAAGGCGCCGTCAGGATTTTCTGAGGCATAAAATTTCTGATCACGCTTAGTAAAGGCGTTGGTCCCCGGTTCATGCGTTGATGGGTCGACCAGTAGGGTCCAGGTGTGAGAGCTGGCTCCCTGGCGTCGGTAGCGTCGGTGTTGAACTTCAGCAAAATTTTATAGAAATTTAGCGAACTTCAAAGAAATTTCGAAAATCTTGTAGAAACTCGTGGAACATCATTGAAGTTTAAGAATTTTTCTTTAATTCCATCGAACTTCGTAAAATTTTAGCAACTTTATCGATGTTCAAAAGACAGCGCAGTCATTCAGGAAATTTAGGAGAAATTCGAAGAACTTAATAGAGCTTCTTAGAATGTCGTAGACACTCAGACAGCTTTGTTAAAATTCGGGAAAACTCTATAGAAGTGGGATGCTCTGTTTTAGTTTAGAGAATCTTGTTACATGTCAGAAAGTGTTCCAGGACCTGCTTTTAATTACAGGGTACTTTACTAATGAATTTTGTAAGTTTAAGGAATTCCGTAGAAGTTTAGAAACTTCGCAGAAAATCATCGAAATTCCTAAAAGTGAAGGGAACTATATGTAGAAGGGAATTTTTGTTAAAGATCAAGGAACTTTGAAAAATGTCGGCAAACTTTGTAGAAGTTCGGCAAACTTTGTAGAAGTTCAGGAAATTTCCTAGAAGCTCAGGATATTGCTTAGATGCTCAGGAAATAACGTATAAATTCATCAAACTTCTTAGAACTTTAAGGATCTTCGTATCAGTTTAGGGAACTGTGAAACTTTGGGAGCATCGTTTCGTCAGGAAAATCCCTAGGTTATTTCCGGAAGTTTGAAGAAGTTGATGGATGTTATGAGACCGAATCAAAAATTATGAATCTTAAAAAGTTAAGACAATTTTTTTTAGAAGTTAAGGGAACTTTGTAGATGATCACAGAACATTGCATGAATTATAGGAAATTCGTACAAGTTTAGCAAGTTTGGCAGAAATTCAGTTGTAGCTATCGAAAAAATAAAAGTTGCACGCTATGAAAAAAATATTCAAGGTACTTCATAGAGGCTTTGAGTTCATGGAACTAAGATTAAGTTCAAGAAACTTCTTGGAAGTACAGGAATCTTTTTAGAAGTTCAGGAAGCGTCGTAGAATGTTAGATGACTTTGTTGGTTTTCACAGATTTTCGGTGAGATATCAATAAAGTTCTCTGCATATTATTCAAGACGTTTCAAGTTGATCAAGTAATGTTCTGAAGATCTGCAACTGTTAAAAAATTCAAATGATGTCTTTCAGATTTGACATAACATTTAACATTAATAACATTTTTTATTTAACATTTGATTTCCCGGCAAGTTCAGTAACAACAACGGTGCCGGTGGTGTAGTGGTAAGCGTGATTACCTCTCACCCCAGAAGGCCTGGGTTCAATCCCAGTCGGCGCCGCCGGGATATTCTGAGGCATAACATCTCTGATCACGCCTTCCTTCGGATGGGAAGTAAAGCCGTTGGTCCCCGGTTCATGAGTTGATGGGTCGATAAGTAGGGTCCAGGTGTGGGAGCTGCCTTCCATTGGTGCTCAGCACGGAAAACAAGATCGACGGAAAAAACAAACCAAAGGAAAAAAAAAAAAAAGTTCAGTAACAAGAGACCCTTCGAGCTAGGTTACAGAATCGGCTTACTACCTGGTAATCACGAGGAGCTTCGCGGACAAGATGTGCAGCATACGGTCACCTGACTAGAGATACTGTGTAGTGTGAATTGAAAGAATTACTTTGATAAGCAAGGGTTTTTATTGTTTGTGTTTGTGGGTGTGGGTAAAATTAACTTTTTTTCTTCGGTACGTAACACTGCTCCTTGTTCTTATGCCGACGATCTGGCGACACCTCGCCGACGATCTGCGAGCGCTCGCTGCTGGTGACGAATAGTGGCTGATGGTTCCCGAAACGATAATGAATGGTCATTTAATCGCACGATGGTTTGGAGGGGTTTGTCGATCGTGTATGGCTATGTTAGCCTTTCAGGCGTCCTCCCTCGTTGACGGGGATTGGCACGGCCCAGGACGATACCGGAGTGACCGTGTCAAGAGGGAATGCTCCTAAACG